TGTTTTAATTAGAAAATCAGTTTCGATTGGTTTGAGAAACGTAACTGTTTTAGTTTGGCTAAGCCCAAAAGAGTGGCCCAAAAAGAACAGAAAGCTACGTACTAAAGGGAAATTATTCCTATTGGGTTCTCAAGGCCCAAAATAAGACTATCATTTTTCATTCCCTGTAGTTCTAATTTCTACTTAGGACGAGGTAGCATCAAAACAAATGTGAATATTTAAAAGAAAGGTGGTACTATTTTTCCAAAGTCATGTACATTTTTAAACATCCTAGGGACCAGTACTTTTAGAGCCGGTTGGAAATGAATTAAGGACTGAAACTTAGTTTAAGAAGGCAGATTTTGTAAAGTACCTGAATCGGAGATTTCCAATTTTAGTACCAAAACTGAGATATCCGTCTTCCATTGCTTTGAGCTTATCAATAATTCATTGCCAAAAACAATTGTTAGCCAAAATTAGTTAAGTTCCCCCTGAATTACATTCCCCTTACTTGTGATAAGCATAATTAAGCATAATAAGCGCAATTAAGACATACTTAAGCAATGTTTAAACCAATCAAGCAATGTTTAAACAAGAAGGTGTTTTCATCAAAACAAATTAGTGTTTTCACATACTTTCCCCCTATTTTGATGTAAAGAACCTTCAGTTTCTCTTGCGCTTTGAAGATCCGGCAACTTCACTGATGCCCTTCATGTTCCCACACAGTTCTTTGATGCGTCTTAAATTTTCACGTCTTTCTTCTGATTGAGCATCATTTGAGAAGTGGTCAACAACTATACCTATAACTTCTCTTCCATCCAGTCCTGAGCTGGATAGAAGTTGTGCTGAGTTTTCCGGATTTCTTTGCTGTGCTTCAAGGATTAGATTTGTCAAGTTCAGATGAGAAGGAATATAAGATACTTCTCCTTCTTTGATTGCAATAGGGAGCTGTGGTATTGGAGATGGACTGTGTTGTTGGAGAATTACTTCCATCTTGCGGTTTCCAGAGTTTGCACCAATAAGTCTGAACAGCTTGAATGCTTCCTTTTGATTGTCAATGATTACCTTCAAGTAGTCCTTGGTTACTACCTGATTTGCAGAAGCTACTGCTAGGGCTGATCTGATGTCCATTTGGAGAAGGGACATCTGTTTTTGGAGACTAATTGTGACACTTGCTATTTGCTCTTTGACTTTGTTGATCTCTTTGAGATGAAGTTGACTGTCAGAGGCATACATTTCCATCGTGTTGCTTACAGTTTCACTCAATAGAGAGATAATCTCCAGAGTCTTCTGCACTGATTTGCTTATTTCTTTGAGATCTGCGCTGTGTTTTCCTTCAGATTTCTCTATTAGCTGGGTGTGCCTGACTTCCATTTGTTCTATCTCTTGCCTAAAGGAGGCATGTTGAGATGCTAGGGCTGATTCAATCAGCCCTTGGACCTTCTTTGTCCAGATTTCCGGTATCTCATCCGGAAGAGCAGGGGTGGAAGAGCTATGGAAATGAAAGTTGGTTACCTGATGAGATGATGGTGTTCTTTGGAAGAGTTGCATAGGAAGAGATTCAGCATCTTCTTGGACATCTTCTTCATCAGTAACCTTCAGTGTTCTTTCAGATTCTCCTTCTGTTTCAAGC